TTGTTTTTGCTGAGTGTGGTTTTTTTTTTTACTGGACATTTATTAAGACTTCCCAGAAGGATCTCTGTAAAGATTTCAGATAAATATGAAGTATATGCCATCATATAAGAGGCGCCAAAGATTTAATGATGGCAGCCAACCTTGTGGATAAATACGAGCAATATTCTCTTATTTGAATGTGTATCCAAGCTTATTAGTGCCCACACACAAGTTTGTTTTTTTCTTTCTTGGTTGTTTATTTGTTGGAGTTTTCTGGTCGAAATTGACGTTGTTTGTAGTTTATAATAACCAACTGTATTTTGGTTCGTCTCTGTTGGCACGGTCCATAAGAAGTTTTCTGTAAATTGAGCTGTGTGAGAAATCTTACCTTAATTATTCTGAAGTAGTTATTCTTCCTCAAAAGTCTCAGCCGTTTGCATTCCAAGTGTTTCCAAAAGAGCCTTTTGACATTTCATCTGTGATGTTGATGATTGGTATTCCTCTGCGGAAACAGAAGCCGGATAATAATTTGAAGTTTTTACCAATTAAAATGTGCATTAGGGAAAAAAGAACAATTGAAATGTGGTTTTAAAACTTTACGAATGTGATATAACATACTTGTACCCTTCCAATGGCACTTGCACGACTCCCTCTTCCTCTGCCAGTATACTCTGCTCCTCCTCCTGAGGATTGAAAAAAACACAATGTAAATGTGTGTTAATAAATGAATTTAACATGGACTGGCATGTTGTGGTAACAGCACCTCTTCAGCATCCTCAAGCTTCTTCTTCTTGCTCTCTGGCATCAGGTCATCCAGCCAGCTCATCTCTCTCTTGGTGAAGATGCAGTCCATTAGCTTCCTAATAAACACGAGCGCTAACACCTGCAAGATTCACAAGCAGGATCAAAACGGCTGAATCCACAGAAATCATATGTGTTAATGAAGGAGGAGAGGAGATGGAGTTGAATGGAAAAACAGGCAGCGGTGGTAGCAGCAGGTGTGTAATGCTGGTAAGTGGTGTATGTGACAGAAAGATAACAAATCAGTTTAAATGATCTATATGTTTAGTCAATAAATCATGGATGTGTATAAATAAAATGTAAAAACAATTAATTTTAAATAAACAAAACTTTTCATGACCACGCAAATATGAATATGATGTTATATATCATTAAAATAATAAAATAAAATAAAAATAACATTATTACTTAATTGAAATTAAAAATAAAACATTTAGTTTTTATTTGTAAAAAATATTAAATACATTAATCTAAATGTACTTTATACTATATACTATTTTCATTTTAGAAAATGTAATTAAATTAAATCAAATTTCAAAAATATGTATATCCATCAAATTGAAATTGTTTAAAGAACCTGTGACATCGTCTATATCCATGTTTATTTTATCAATGAGAGCCGAACAGAAAAAACTAAGCAACTGATGCACGTCATCTTATTCATTTTGTCCGACAACTGCTGCATTAATCCCAGCGTAGATAGATAGTGGCCAACTGACCCCACTGATCTTCCTGAACACACACACACACTGAGCCCTGCTGACACTCCAGTGTGGCGTCTAATGCTGCTCGTGCGATGGGCCTGCAGCTGCTGTAATTGGACAGTTTACGCACCATCATAGGGAAGACGATGGCAGCCTTGGAGGTCTTGATGACCCAGAGCAGAATTAAACAGCTGAGCTGGATGATGGTGAACAGGTGCACCTTCCTCAGGGGTACGTGTCGGAGATAGATGAAGTCTGGCTGGTGCTTGGCTGGCATACCAAACAGTGTGAGGCGGTCAAAGAACTGGAGAGGACAAATGATCAGTGAGAGAGAATTCTTCTATAAAAAATAAGATGCCTTGTATTTCACTTACAGCAACTTACATACATGTGATGTAAAAGATTTTTTAAGAGTGATAAATCGCTCTAATACAATACACTGCATTTCCATCATGAAACACCAAACAAATGTATGGACTGAGGCTTGTGGATAAAACCAAACTCTATCAAGCTAAAAGTAAAAGTAGCTGGAATTACAACAGACTGAATCTTCAGATCAGCATATTTCTGTTTTAATTTAAATATAATTTTCACAAACCAAGAATAGAAAGTATTCAGAATTGAGGAAAATAAGAAGTAAACAGGGCAATTAAATAACAATCAGGTGTTCTGTAGATGCTGGGAACACACTAGTGGCCAATTAACACTTCTTCTCTGGGCAGCCAGACAATATGGAGGCGATCCCCTATCGTGGGTTGCAGGGAGTTAACAGTCCACTCAGATTATCTGGTGGAAGAGTCGATGAATTATCAACACCGAGCAGCTCTCATCTAATCTCAAGCACGCAGAGCATCACAAAAAGATACGACTCAAATTCAGCACAGGTCATAAAGTGGTTGTTAGTCACATTTTAAATTTTGAGCGTGCAAACCTTTATTTTATGCCTGGTTTGGACATTAAAACTGATTAACGAGTAAAGAAACATTATTAAGATGTTTATCACTTTCTGTGACACTGTGCAATAGGAAGTTTTTCAGCATTTTGATTGATTTCTCTGAGAATAATTTGCGGATTTCGAGGAAAAATCAGGCATGTATAGGGGCACAGAACAAATTAAAATGTTAACAATCGTAAAATTTAAATGAAGATTCACAAGGGGACTGTTGGGCCTTGGCAGAGGTTTGCGGTCTGAGTACCTCTTCACAGTGATACAGTACAACGGGAGCAGGAGCTCCATTAAATACAGTGAGACTCAAATAACTCACCTGAATGCCTCGGAGAGACGATGCCCCCATATAAAGGAACACTCCGTACAACACAGGCATAGGAATGAACTGAAGAGCAATAAAAGGTTTTGTCAGTAACTCGCTCATGCAGTCTTTGATGAAATAAATTTACACTGTAGTATGATCACAGATGGAAAAAATACACTCACGTCAAAACTGATAAGTAAGAAAAAGTATGTGACCGACCTTGAGCACAGACGTCATGAACACGGAGCAGCCCATGAGGGTGAAGATCATGAGGCCCGTAAATCGTTGCTCTCTGATTCCGAGGAACTTGGGCTGCTCACCGGGGGCAGAGCACTCGGACTCGAGCTTCAGGCTGTTGACGTGGGTGATGGAGAGCACGGTGGCCGCCACGAACCACGGCAAACCCATCAGAGAGCACACGCCCAGCATCACCCCCACCATGAATAGGTCCAGGTGATAGCCACAGCTTTTCTGAAGGGGGGAAGGGACAAGTGGATGAAGCCTTATCACACTAATGTATAGTAGCTGTGAGAGCATTGAACTCAGGCTGTACCTTAAGCTTGTGCTCCTTCCTGTTGATGATGACAGCAGTGATCTGCTGGTCCATGAAAATGAGGATGGTGCAGAGCAGAGCAGGGATCACTGTTATGACTGCAGTCCACCAGGGGTTGGGCCCCAGCGGGTTAATGAACCAACCTCGATCATCCCTGGTCGGCTGATAAAGACAAAAAAGATTATTCGGAATTTATTTTACACAATAAGGCGTTTATTGAAAAATGATCTGATAAGTAATTTCTTACCTTAAACACACTGGGAACCTTCAGCTTCGGAGAGGGAACCCCTAATGCATAGTCGACTAACACCATCGTAAGGATGGTTAAGAAAATAGCAAAGTCACTGATGATGGCCCTCACCTGATAGAGATGAGATTGATTTTAAAAACCTTCAAGCATACAGTTTTTATATTTTGCAATAGTATTTATCAAACTCAAACAAAAGGTTTTGCAGAAAACAGGACTGTTCATTAACTCCACCAAAGAGGATATATGTTTTGATCTGTGTTTGGTTTTTGTTTGTTTGTTAGCAAGTTTACGCAAAAACTACCAGACAGTGGATGAATGTTGTATAGGTCACAAAGGAAGCCAATACATTTCCAGGCAGATCCAGGTTTGTTCTCTTTAAAATAGCAAAAGAGTCTGTTTTTCAACGTTTTCATTGATTTTTCAAAGAATCACTCATGAATCTTGATGAAAAAAAAAAGGTTCTGGCATATGAAGGGGACTGATATGTGTGTGAGCAATTCAGTGCAGATCTAGTGAATTTAGATGTGGTTTCATACAGGGGACTGTTGGGCATTGGTGGAGGAACTGATTCTAACTGAGTCTTACATATTCTTTCAATCACGCAGTACCTACGTTGAACCACTAGAGTGTACCACTGAACCATGCTACATAACCAAAGCTCTGTTCACCAGAGACAGAAACATGAGGCACATTTATGTAAGGACGATGAAGGATGTACAGTACCTTTGTGGGAAAGTAATTGCTGAACTTGAACTCTTTGAGGAAGGCAGACATGATGACAGTGGAGAAGAAGAGAATGACAGACCAGAAGAGGACGTCAGGAACATAGGGGCCGTGCGGGCCACAAGCGCTGCCCACAAACTCGCCTCTCTTCTCAATACAGTCCTGTAACAACAGGTAGAGGGCCATTAATCAAACTTATCACATGATTAGCAATAAAAACAGCATCAGCAGATTGTAAACTTCCACAAACGGTTTATGAGCATCCACATTTGTAAAAAAAAAAAAACTTAACAAAGTACAAAAAATGTGCTTTTAGAGTGATTTGCTATGAGTAATCCAATATAATCCAGCCCACATGCCCTTAATCTCCTCTGTCCAGCTTCCTCCATCTGGGAGAGCATGCCACTTTAAGGTGGAAAAAGCTTTTTGGTCTGTCTTTGTCACACCTCATACTTCCTGCTGTTGTATGCATTCATAACCACCATATCTCATTATTGTAACATTTGTTTTTGTTTTTACTTCCGAGCTGGTCTGTACCTTGACCTCCAGAGCTTCCCAATAGATTTCTGAGGCAGTGATGTTGTTGATCTCCCAGAACTTCAGGGTGCCATTGGTGGGGTCAGAGGGCTCGACACACGAACATCTGTGGAGGCACATGAACATCTGGGTGAATGATTAATCATGTATCTGTCTGGGATTTACTGTACCTCCAAGGAATTTACTTAATTACTTATTATTTCTTCTTTTTTTTTAACTACTTTAAAGAGTACCCCGGACGTACGAGTACATGCTGAGTTTGTCCAGGTTGTTGTTCTTGTTGAAGGGAAAGTGTTCCCCCAGGTGGATGAGTTTCTCCAAGGCCTCGTAGATGAAGATGATGCAGATGAGTGAGGCAAAGGCTTCCTCTGTGAAGCGTGTGATGTAACAAACGAGGGAACTGGCGTCTGTGGCCACCAGCACGATGCAGAGGAACGCCGTCCACAGGCCGATGCATGTTCTCAGGGACAGATAGGATAAGCCATACTCCCTGTGTGGAGATGAGAGGGAGGAAAATGACTGTGGAAGATAACACATCAAATCACATCATATTATATATACTATACTATTGCAATGTGACAGATTGGAGAAAGACATTATCACAATGAGTAAATGCAAGCACAACATTAAATGTTCTATAGGTGGCCAGATGTTACATTCATGTTCCCAGAACTCATCCCACAGGCAGCTGATAAAACATCGGACGTGTAATCACAAAGTTATGCAATGATCTGAAGTCACTGACATGAGAGATATGAGTGGGAACACTAAATCAAAACCTACTTGCAGAATTTGAACAATATCTTTTCGAATACAAGCACCGGCCCTGTGCTGCCCAGAATGGTGAGGGGCTGCCCGGCGAATAGGGAGTAAGCTATTCCAGTTAGCGAGGCTCCAAACAGCGACTCAATTGCACTCTGGGAAATAGAAAATCAGGACAGAAAGATTGCTGGAAAAAACAAAATGTTTATTGTACTGAAGGACTCGTACAGTGCACAGCAGTGTACAGCTAGAACAGTGTGAACACTTAGAGGAAAGAGAAGATGATTTACTATGCGTCCTTCTGTTGCCTCGCCTAGCAGTCCTCCGAAGGTGATGACAGGGGACATGCAGGCACAGTAGAGGAACAGGAAAGAGGCCACGCACTGCAAACTGAGAGCGTCCGTGTAGTCAGACAGGTAGTGGGGGGCCTTTCGCTTGATGTCTAGAAAGAGACCACCAAACCACCTGGGGATGGAAAGAAAAAGTTTGCCACTTGTGTTGTTTATTTACTCATAAAATTAAGTATTAACAAGTTTTTTATGTTGAAACAATAATAGAAAACAAGTTAAATTGCAATGGTTTGTGCATTTTTGTGAAAAGTTTGCAAGATTTTTGACAATATTCTGGATATTAAAAAAAATCTAATTTTGTTCAACTTTTCAACCTTTTTATTCACAATTCCACTTTTCTCTTGACATTTCATCTTATTTCTTGAAATGCAAAAATGGCAAAAACATCTTTCCACTGTTTGTCTTCAACTGCCCTCTTCTCACTGTTCAGCTCTGGTTACAGTTTAGTGTGGTAAGTCCTTGTAAGAGCGAAGCAGGGATGCAAATAGATGGAAGCAGGATGTTTCTATGGAAACCACTTTATGACTACTACTACAGAGCAAGTTTGCACAGAAATAGATGACTGAGCACTGCAGAATACAGTTTGGTAAAGTGGTATTTTTTTGTTTAGTATATGCGTTGATTTTTACTAAACTTGTAGAAAGTAAGTATTCAACAAGTGTATTTATTTGACATAACTTTATATATATTTAGAACTCAATGCCAAGAATATTTCATTTGAGATATTGTGCACCACTTCTATGGGCACCAGAGGAATGACTCTGTATTTTGAAAACAAAACATCGATATTGCTTAAAAAACTTTACCAAATCAAAAATGCACAAATCTAAAGCTTGAGCTGTTCAATTGTATATAGTCTCTGCAGCAAAGCAGGGAGTAAAGACTGCATCCTGAGATTAGTATGAAGTATTTTATAGGGATATTTACTCATCTCTTTATATAGATTTCACAATACTTTACTGTTGATAAGAATTAAACAGACACACACATTGTTCTTCTCTTGGTGAATCCCTCACCTGCCAGTGCGCTGCAGTTCAGGACCACCATGGCCTCCGGGTTCATCCTCCTCCTCACCCTCGACTAAACCGTTTGGTAAAATATTACTTTTCTTCCTCTTCTCCTGTTTAACAAACAGCACAGTACAGTGAGTTTAAATTACTGTGATAGAAATCTACATTAGAAGAACAAGCAGCCAAAGTCCTACTAACCTGAGATGGTACATTTTTCGGTGGCTCTATCCGTATGGACGGGTCCCACTCGCCTGGAGGCAGCACTGTCACTTGATCGAGGAATTCATCAATCCCCGCGATCAGATCGTTACGGTCTTTAGCTTTATATGCAACATCATGGAAAACCTGGGAACAGTATGAAAAGCTTTAAATGCTTTCCAGTTACAAACCCTGAGTGAATGCAATGTACTACACATGAAGTGTACGTGCAAGGGGATGTCTGCCAAATGACATAATGACTGGAAGGTTCGGGGAATTCTTACATCATCTGTCATAAGTGTTGCAATGGATCTTCCAATCTCATGATACTGAAGCCCTCGACCAAAAGGCCCCAGGAGAATAAACAAAAACCTAAAGGGGAAAAAAATGTGTCAAATAAAATCTGAATCCCAACTGTATGTATATATTTACTGTAAAGTTCACTAGGGATTAATCAGCAGGGTTAATAAGAGGTGTTTGTAGAGGTTGGTGTGTACAGGGGTATCAGCCTGCACTGACCTGGTGGTGATGGGGACTTCAGCCAGACCGTTGAGCAGAACCGCTGGTGAAAGACGCACGAACGCCACCACAGGTTTGTTCAGAAACTCCAACTCTCCCACCAACACGTTACAAGCTTCAGCTCCGGCTGGGATCTTCTTCATGAAGTGAAGGTCTATCTGAATAGAAGAGAAGTAGAGAGAGGTCGAGCTTTGAACAGGGCACAGGACTGTCGGGTATTCATCTGATATTCAGCTTTTTGATACCTTGTACAGTTTTTAAATTAAAGAAAGGTGATTCATTTATCTGACAGTGTGTGAGCTGCAGGATGACGCAGCTCCAGTTTGTTATTCAGTAGGATTAATGATTAATGCATGTGTTTTTGTTCACATTTTCCTTGTGTGAGCTTTGCAGGAAGTTGGTGCCCATTTCTATGCACATGTATGTTTGTCATATGATAGATTTGTCCTTCTGCCATGTTTCTTGTGGGGTGTCAACTAGTTTGAAGCCCAACAACTTTTACATTTTGAGATTTTATGATGCCAGATCTGATGAATCAGAGGCTAATAAATTCCATATAGGACATTCCAACATTATTTGTGTTGAAGTTACATCAACTCAGGAATTCCCAGATGTAGAAAATGATATTGATCTAGTTGGTATTTTACTGGAAAAGCTTTTTATTTGATTTCCTCTTAATTGTACGCAGTTCAGCTTTCCCAGAAGGCAGCGATCTCTTCAGAAATCACATTCACTTATTACTACTACTACTTGTTATTATTTTTACTGTGCTCATTAATCCTTAAATGTAATGGTTTAACTGGACTGTCATCTAAATATAGCCCAGCTGTCCAGGCTTTGTGTGTCACAGGACAGAACATTCCAACATGTCACAGATGTGTTACAATTAAATATCACGACAGATTATTGAAATATACAGACAGTCAGTTTGACCTGTTGTATATTTTGTAAGGATGAGGTTTCTCTCATTTCACATCGTGTATAAAAAGTGACCCTCACCATGAAACTGATCCTCTTACTCTCTTTCACGCAGTGGACCTTCACTGAACAGAAAGTCTCTGAATATTAAACGTGCTGATTTTTTCAGTGTTAATTATGTGCAGAAAACAAGTGTTGACTAGAGTGTTGTTTGCTCATGGGGGGGAACTAGACCTAGGTCCAAAAGAATTACTCACACTGCGATAGTTTTTAAGATTAAGAGTTAAAACCGATTCATTTCTTTACTTGTGTCAAGTCAATGAAAATCTGCAGCTGGTCCAGAAACACATATAAAAAATTGTAGGACAAGTTATATGTATAAGAATAGCAGTGCTGGACATTCATTTCTGCTGTTTGACAGGCACATGAGACAATCATTGACCTGGACAAAAGGTTAAACCCACAGACATTACATCAGGCCAGCACCAGGCTTTTATCTTTGCTGTGTGTGGTTTTCATCAGAATCAGCTGAATGACTTTTATCATATTTATAGTGGTTATAATCCTAATCCCGGACTACATGAGTTTTCCATTAAAAAGACCAACAACGACCCTCTGTTCATTGTTTGAAACACACAATTAAACAAGAGGCTGCTAATTTTCAACAGATACAACATAAATGTTTACTGATACATAATGTGTCCTGACCGCTCCACACTATAAACCACACTCTGTTGTGTTACTAGTCCCATCTGACACTGCTGCAGGATAGATAAGTACAAGTAAAGAGCGTTCACAATAGTCAAAAGTAATTATTATTCATCTTAAAACAATATCGAAGGTATTCATTGTGCAGAAAAATATTGTAGATTACTTAATTGGATTATTATTACCTCCCCAACGGAGGTTATGTGTTCACATGTTTGTTAGTTTGATTGTTTGCTTGTTTGTTTATTAGCAGGATTAAATTATGAAACCAATTTCTACCAAACTTGGCAGAGTGAAGAACCCAAGGCATTTTGGTTTAGATCCAGATGAAGGGACAACTGATCTGTGATTGGTTTGGTCCCCACAGTTAAACTGACATGTACATATTAACCAAATCATTTCGTGAGTGTAACTTGAGAAACACTGTGTGTACAATTTAAAAAAAAAAAAAAAAAGTACAGTCTGTGCAGTCGTACCTTGCTGAAGTCGACAGAACTGTTTTCTCTACTGACGTCCACTTTCCCATCTGGACCCGCTAAGTGACACTGGGAGGACGTCATCTGACCTGGATGGTCCAGAGAGGAGAAACATGATCTAACACGGCTCAACAAAACTGAATTCCAGCAGCAGGTGATTTATTATGAGACCGACCAGTTGAAGAGAATATCTCTAGAAAGGAAAATAATGTTGAGGGTCTCGTGCAAACCATGGAGGCCATGGAGGGAAAAAAACATCCAGACTGTCATCACAATATAATCCAGGCTCCTAGTAATATGATTACTGCCAAGCTGACTGACAGGACTAACTTCATTAACACACTAATGATATTATTCAATAAGCTCACAGAGAATGGAGTGAGCTTTATCAGAGTACAATGCTGTGAATTTGGCACTCGATTCCTCACAAGTGAAAATGAATTGTTCATGATGTACCACCTTGATTCCAAGCACACTATGAAATAATTTAACCAACACTTTGGTGTCTACTGCACACTTCATTTTGTCAGTGGCTTGTAAAATATAGCTGGCAATGATGTCGCTAAGAAATGGTTCCAATTCTGAGTCTGTCCTGGACTCACTTCTTGTTCTGTGAAGACCAAAACCAGACGGGTGTGCATATTTATAGAATGAACTTGTTGTGTTTTTTTTATCAACCTTAATTCAACCTGATAAAAAAACTTCTTTTGAGTTGCCAACATCCACACAAACCATAAGAATAATCCACCTTTGAATATGTTTTTAAGAATAAGATGGTAAAGGAGAAAGGGCACTTTATTAATCACCACCTGCTGACAGTAGGTGCTGTGGCTCTGTTGGTGGGCTGATTAAGCCCACGTGCATGTAGCACACATACACACAATGCACATTTATAAAGAATCCACAATTAAACATCGCTGAGCAGATTCATCGCAGAATCCAATAAAGCAGCAACTTTTTGACTGCAACCTAAAACACAGCTGTTTGTCTCTTATGTCTCCAGGGGAATAATTCTCACAGTTTGCATCTGGTGCAAACAGCTGGTGACCAGTCTTAAATAATGACATCATGTAAAAATGCAGTGTAGCAGCGCAATTCATGATTTTAATCTTCTTTTGAGTGGCCAGCAATATTAGAACATTTTCCACCGGGACAGACAGCAAACTTGAACAGGAAATGTCGCAACATAGTGTTTGTAATTCAGCTGTGGACAGTTTGTGCAAATTGTTATCTAGCCCACGTCATTTTCTATATTTTTACATCTGATGGCTGAGAAAACACACTGAATGGTCTCAAAATGAAATCAAATATTCGTTTTTTACTGACGTGAAAATTCCAGTTAACTTGTTTTGTGTTGCAGTTTTACCCCTGCAGTATCATTTAAATAATCATAGAAGCCTGAGAAAGTAAAACTGTTCAATAACACCCAACAGAAAAGTTATACACAAATGCTTTTTTCGGCTTTCCTCTCCTGTTGTCGTCTTATGATCGATACATGTATTTTACAACTCCTTTCATGTTTCAAAGCCCCTGAAGACCGAATCTCGGGCTTTCTCACCATTCTTGTCCAGATGGAGCTCAGATGTCCGTCTCCCCATGTCAGCAAAGGAGCGTACGATTGGTAGGCGGTTAGCCAGCTTCTTCTGGTTCTGGTGATGGTGCTGCTTCAACAGTGTTTCCCGCACTTTCAGCCTGAGCTCGTCCCCCAGTGGTGAGTATAACTCCTGGTGGTCCAGGACCATGTCTATCGACAACACACATTGTTAGGACTTGTTCTTCAAGACTCTGGCTATGAGGCTAATAAGTTGCTGAATAAGCTTAAGTTTTCAAGATTTAAAATAGCATCACAAAGTCTCAGCAGGAATGCAACAAACACACTCTGTTGAACATCTTTTCCTCTGTCGTGAAGCGAGTAAAGCTTCACTCAAAAGTGAAGTGAGTAACTTAGTAAGGAGCTTATAACTTGAGACAATCGCTTCTTTGTCAGAAATAGGTAGATGAAAAAAGAGTCAGAGAGGTGATGCATACCCTTATCAGGCTAATAATGCCATTTCATAATGATGTCATCAAGACACCTTATGATGACATTAATCTGTGTAAACTGGATTGTGTTTATAATGTTACTGAACCATCTATATAAGCTCCAGGTCATGTCTATAGTCCTTTTGGAAGCAGAGATATGAGAAAAATATTTTGATCTATGTTTGACGTCATTTTCTGAAATCTTTGTGACTTCTTCATGACGTCACTTATCATAACATGGGCAGTAGTTCTCTGATCAGTATAAGCTTTGTAGTTACCTGCAATCTCTTCAATGGTGTTGGCCCTCATGTCGAGCAGCACGGTGCTGTTGATGATGCAGCTTCGCAGCTCGAACAGACTGTGCAGAGACAGAGTGGCCACGTAGGGTTTACTCCATCGCTCCCCTCCGTCCTCAACATCCTCTTCAAACTTCAGCCACCTGAGACAAGAGTGTGAGTTTCAGTGAGGAGAAGGCAGCAGACGGCAAACTGTCTGACAATCTGTTCTTTCTGGGTCCCTTCCTCACATTAGCTTACATAT